TGCGAGCACTACTTCTGAGAAAATCTCGTACTCGTAGTCGTCTTCGTCTTAGAATCTAAAGCTCTCTATCATCACACTCAAAAACAACGTACAGAAGTAAACACTACCATATTCAGTTCATACTGAGGAACTGATACGAAATCAGCCGCTCAAATGACAACAATTCATACTTTATATCTAGCCGGATTTTTGAAGACGTTGACTGCCAAATAGACCTCTTCAATCCTTCAAGCAGTTTTTCTCGGCCAAAGATTATATTATCTCTAATTCAAAGTGGACAGACAGTAAATTGTTGTTGCTCGAAATATCTATATATCGTAACTGTCCATCAGTAGGATGCCCAAAATGTGTGCAATTCCACAATTGGTTTCGTCTCCATTTAATCCAAGCCAAAATAATAAAATAAGAGTACAACCATTGCTTTTTCTCCTATCCTTTTTCCTCCCCCTTGTTTTTTCTTGTACCAAGGCCCTTTTTGCCTTGTACCAAGGTCCCGTACTGAAGCTGCTAAGAGGGCCTTTAGCTATAGGGGAGCAGTCATGTGGAATGGCCTAGAAAATGTGCTAAAAGACGAGATAAATCTCAACTCTTTCAAGTCTGCCCTATCTTTGTCTTGAACCAGGGATTGCCTTGAGGGAGTTGCGATAGAATTTTATTTTAGTTATTTAATGTACCTTTAAGGTTGATTGATTTTTGTGTAATTAATTATAGGATAGATTTTCTTAATATATAGATATATTTTAGCATTAATGTAGTTTCTCTGAAAATTTTGTTATGTAAACGGCTCACTGGAAGAGCATTTTTAATGAAGTGATACCGTTAATAAAGCTTTATTGATTGATTGATTGATTGTTGTTTTTGAGATTATCGGGGGCCAAAAACCCTGCCTTTTGGCCCTTCACTTTCTAACTCAAGAATGCAAGTGGTTGCAAAGTGTGCTATCCAAAGCAAGGTTCGTGGGTAAGAAATCGGCTAGACATCATCAGTTAAGCTGGTGAACAGTAGTATGAGTTAAACGCAAGGTATGATCCCGAAAATAAGGCCATCCCCCCTTTTTTTTTCGATTAGCGTCGAATTGGGTCGGTCGGTCGAATTAAAAAAAAAGCTAAAAAAAAGTCACAAGAAGTCTCGGAATAGAAGGCCCCGGTAACCCAGGACGACGTTAAAAGTTAACATTCACATATTTGGATTAACAAAATACACAATATACTGTAAAAAAATGTTCATGTTTTTGTTCCTATTTTTCTCTAAGCTGTTACCATGCTCATTTTTCATTATTTCAAGTGAAAAATGGTTCAACTACGTAGTTACATTTTTTTTTTTTGAAAAAGCCAAAAATTTGGGTCGGTCGGACGACGCTAAACGGAGAAAAAAAAGAGGATGGCCTTGTAAAAACGAATGTAAAGTTCTGTCAGTCTTGGGGAAGACTGAGCAGTTTGTGGGAAAATTAAACTGTGGAATCCTTCACAGTTCGGGAGAAACCACGTTCAAATTTATCAAGTTCATAAAAGATGTTGGCAACTGTCTAGAAAGAACGGCATAATAGTGAGTCCCTGACGAAAATTTAATTTTTCCTGAGCCAGTCACGCCACAGGAGGTCTGTACCATTATTTAAAGGGCGATTTTTGGTGTTCTAATAACACAGGTATAAAAATAAAATCAATTATAATGGCTATATAGTTTTAGTGGTAATCAACGAAACGCATCTCTTATTAAATGTTTTTATTTGCGACAGTACGTGAATTACAAACCTAACGAAAACGTTCGGAATTAAATTTGTTTGTTCAGTCTTATTTGGATATTTCCTCTTTTTAAATTTGCTGATAAGATTCTTCAGTTGGAAGTATAGCAAAGACTAGAGTAGCCAAAAAAACGCTTTCTTCAACTTACAGTTCCTAGATTATTTTTGGACTGGTTTTTGGCCAAGGTCAATTTACATGGGAATGGCTAAAATTGATTTTTGCAACATGAAGTGTATATTTTCTGGCTAATTGGATGTAATGAAACAGCTTGTTTTTCGCGCACGCGCATAGGCCTTTTTTACGGATCTCTTTTGATCTTTCTTTCTCGCTCTCGTTTTGGTTTTTTACCTTTCATTTTATAGCCATATTTGTCGCCCACTATATCGTCTTTCTTTCGCATGGTTTTCTAGGAGAGAGACAGAATTAATCTGCAAAGAGCAGTACGTAGGCGAATAGCGAAATTGGCAGTGTTTCAAAATGTTACTTGGTTTTTTGCGCGTAATCCTGTCAGGATTGGTCAGAATTTTGACAACGAGGTTTCGCAGAAAGGCTATCCTTGCAATTATTAGCTTAAACTGAATCTAACTGAGTCCTTGAATAAAAATATGCATCAGTCTTTCAAAATGGCCACTAAAACGACCAAAGCGGTAATGACTAAGACCTTTTGTTACTGTTTGTTACGTGTTATAAGTGCTTTACAGCACGATACAAACAGTATATAACAGATACGGTTCTGGAACTATTGTAATTTCTTGCCAAGATATTAAGCACGCAAATGTCGTAAGGAGATTACCTTTGGATCAAATTTTAAAAACGAAATTATGCAATTTGTGACATTTTAATTGAATGTTTACTTAGTAAAGGTGACAGATTCGTGTTTACATTTTCCCACATTGTGATTTTCAGTAGTTAATACTACCAACGATTAAAAAATGTTCATTACTAGTAATACTCAATCAACTCATAAAGCACCATTACGAATGGATAGAAATAATAATAGCAAAGAAATTAATTTGGCTAAACCAATTCGAGTCAAAAGAAACATTTTTCCTGTAATATGATATTCGAAAGACCATTCCTCACAAACGTAAACACCTTACGTTTTTTAAAATAACGGAGCATAATATCTTTTTTCAACTTTTTGAAAAGTCGTAAGAATAATCAAATTCCTTCTTGTCATAACAACGCTTTATGAAACAGAGTAAAATTTTAAAAAATGGGAGATAGCAGGTACCGAACCCAGTCTTTTCGGCTCCTAAGGTCACGTGTTACTGCACGTACGAGAACAATAGAAATGACCATCTTTCAATAGAAATGACCATCAATCTTTCGAATATCATTCATTCATTCATTCATTCATTCATTCATTCATTCATTCATTCATTCATTCATTCATTCATTCATTCATTCATTCATTCATTCGTTCGTTCATTCATTCTTACACCGACGATAGCATAGAGCCTTACTGGCTATGAGCCAGTAAGCTCAAAAACGGGATGCTACATAACTAGTGAATATTTAACAATTATTCCTCGAGCCCGAATGGGCTCTTAGTCAATAGCCCACGAAGCCGAAGGCCGAATGGGCTATTGATTTAGAGGAAATGAGGGCGAGAGGAATAATTTATTGTTTTAGTAAAATCCAACTAGTTGGTCAAAAATATCAAGACAAAACAACTTTAGGTAGCAAAACGCGATTCAGCCGCCATTGTTTTGGTTTTCAAAGCCGGCGCGTTTCGCTGCTAGTAGGCTATAACATATTTAGACCAAAGTGAGGCCCGAAGAGCCGAAAAAAAATTTTTCTGAGACCGGGCCCCTGGGGGTTTGGATGATCCCTCCCTCCTCCCCCCCCTTTTATCTGAAGGCCTGGATCCGCCACTGTATAAGATATAAGTAAAGTTTACTACTGCGAACAAGTATACAGCTTCATTTAAGTGTTTCCTATCTTTTCATAACCCAAACTGAACTAGTTCCCCAATCCTACTTGTCAGGAGAAATTAAAGTGCAAAACCCGTTCTGAATACGTGGGAGGAGCGTGGCGTAATCGACGACACAAAGAACAGCTGTGAAGCAGACTAGAATACGTGCAAATTCTTTGATATTTGTCTAGCCTGAGTAACAACAGCCATCCTAAAGTGTTTTCGTAACTGTGGTAACAGATGTCGATATTTTGCGGTGAAATCTAGTACACTTTTGACGTGGACCAGTTAAGGAAAATCCGTCAACTCCGCTAGAAAGAAGGCCTTTAAATTGGTAAGACTGCCAAGTTTGAATGTGATATGTCTTAAGTGAGCGAAGATGTAGCTTTGCAAAGTTGCGAAAATTTTCAGACGTTTGTATTTAAGGGGCGACTGGGCAAGGCCATATAAACGTCTGTAAAATTTCACGACTTTGAGGAACTATAAATATCTTCTTTAGTTTTCAACAAATCACTTTCAAACTTGGTAATCTTACTAATTTAAAGGTGATCTTTGTAGTAGAGTTGATGGATTTTTCCTAACTGGTCCATGTCAAAAGTTGAAAATGCCGCGGACGGGTCTTGGGTAAACCTTAATTCGAATCAAGCAGTTAACTTAAAAAATACTTCGCCTTTTAAAGCTTTAAAATTTGGTGCTAGTCCAATCAGTCTTCTGGCTTTTTCTTGTAAATCGAAATTTGGGAAAAAAGGTGTCAACTGCTTGGACAAATTTTGTATTAAAAAAAAAAAAAGGATCTGGAGGTCTGGGGTTAAAGCCTCGCCCGTGGCGTTGTTTCCTAAGACAAGGAACTTTACTCCACTTTGTCTCTCTTTACCCAGGTGTGTAGAGGGGTACCGGCGACATACTGCTGGGAAGTTTCCCTGCGATGGACTAGCATACCCTCCAGCGGGGGCAATACTCTTAGGCATGTTTCATGTTAAGGAAACCGGGATAAGCTCCTGTCGTTTGGACCTTTGGCTGTACGTGCGCCTTAACCTTTACCCTTACCTACATATCGTTTAATAACAAAAGCCTAATTAATTTCGCGCTATGCTCGTTCCACTATTTTACTTTATGGAATTAGTAAGTAGCAATGAAAAAATGCAAAAGTCCTATTGAATTTCATACATTTTTATTTGCTGAGTGTTTAGCTTTGGAAAAACACAATATTTTAATGCATAATATTCTATTTCATACTGAGTGCAATTTTTCTTATTCTAGAACGATCCTAGTTTGCAATTCATCTCCTCTTTAAACTGGTACTTGTAACTATGACAACCCCTTTGACAGCTCCAATCTTTTTATCCAAACTGAGGGAAGCGGGAAGGACCTCGTGGACCGTCGTCAAGCATACATGTCTTTAGGATCTTTTCAATGATGCCCCCTCGGCCGCATCCTCTCTTTTTGTTTCCCCAATGGCCTTGGAACCCCATGAACTTAATTTCGCCGCCGTATTTGCCATTAGGATCGTACCGAACGGGCTTCAATTTATTCCACGTGTGCCAGCTTGTACCACTACTGCACTCATCCTGCAGCCACTGCCCTGTAACTGGAATTTTCTTGTACTTGTGTTTTCCAGAATTCGGCCAGATTCCGTGTGAACCCTTGGCACTGTAGACTATTACATGAGTACCCTTATACATATCCAGCGTTCTACTCCCCTTCTTGAACTTACCACCTTGCCAGAGGAACTCACCAACATACTTCTTCGTAATTTTTTGGCTGTGGGTCGACAGATAGATGGAGTAGATCTGGTAGTCGGTGTTGACTTTTCGAAAACGAACTATCACTTTCTCCCAGTCTCCAACGTGGTGCCCAAATGTTGAATATCCTCCAACGCAACGACCCCACACAAAGCGCCCAATGCAGGCCCGCTTCCCGCGATTGTACGGAAAGAACAACCAGTACGCGATATCCAAGAAATTGTTTTGCTCTCGATAGATGACGTACACTGGCACGTTACTCGGGTCTTGACCACGAAACACAGTCGGGTCAGTGCAGGAAGGGCAGCTAATACTCTGTTTGGTGGTGAGGTAACTGTTTCCATTGCATCTCTGGAGGTTGTAGACTGTTAAGCGCGTGGGCTTTGGTTGGCTACTGCACCCTTCCATCTTAGTTTGTCTCAAGAAGTAGTCAACACTAGATGGCCGAAACTCCTCTTTCTCAGCGAGTTTTACCAACGGAGCCCAATTGTATATCAGCTCAGCTATCTTGCTTGGAACGCCGGGATAGGCACAAAAACTTGTGGAAAGTATGAGGAGAAGGACAGCAAACTCTTTGATTGGCATTGTGAAGCTATAAAAGTAAATTAAAAGCAATCAAATCATAGCTTGAACAAAAGAGCTTTCATCAGTGACTAATGTATTTGCGCTTTCAACTTTATCATATTCCCTGTTAACCTGTAAATTTTATTATAAAATATTCATTTAAAATATTTCATCGTTTTGATTGACTTTGACCCCCCAGCTAATTCTTGTGACGGACGCTTTTTCCACCCTGAAACGAATTTAAGGCTCAACTGGAACTCGGTGCTAAACTCTCGATAAAACTGGGGACACCAGACTCAAATCATGTGGCAACTCGCTTCCGGAGGAGAGTCGTCACTTTTCTGTAGGGCCGGGATCAACCGCTAACTGGTAAAGCAGTAGAGTAAACAGGACTAAGCTTCGGTTCCAAGCTGTTCCAACAGCTTTTCATTCTTTAGTGGATCAAATGGCAATAAGTCTGACAGTACACGGCGAAAAAAAAAAACCATCTGTTTCAAAAAATTGCAAGACAGCAAAGCCTTTCATATTCAAAATTCACCTCTTGCCTCTATTTAACTAACAACTTAATGAAAAATATATTCGCAAATAAATATAGCTAAATTGCTCTTAAAACGAGGTACAACTATACGAAAGGCGTTACTATGAATAGTTGTCATCTGGTTGTAAGATCACTAAACATGGACTAAAGTTAAATAACCATCAGACATTAATTATTCTTATAAAGATCAACATTGAAATAAAATGTGTACAGTTGAAAAGATTAACTGGCAATTAGTTTTGTTTGTTAAGGAACACCATTATTCAGAAATTAAAATTTATCATTCTTTTAAAGTTCAACATTGAAATAAAATGTGTACAGTTGAAAAGACTAACTGGCAATTTTAGTTTTGTTTGTTAAGGAACACTGTTGACTTTTCTACGATTATTAATTAGCGAACACAAAGCAAATTAAACAAAAGACCGTGATAAAATGGCATAAAACATCGATATCTCAACGCAAATTCAGCTTAATTACGGCTAAAACAAATTCAAAGCAAATATTTTAAAGCTAGATATGAAATTCGAGGCAAACAAAGAATACATTGAAAAATCTCTCATTACCGCATTCCTCTCACCTTACTAAATTTCGACGTCCTCTTGAAAGTGCTGAATTATAAAATACGTATAACGCTTGCACACTGAAAAAGGGCACTGATGAAGAATAGCTTCAATTTCGTATTAAACTGATGAATCAATGATAGAACTGTGAACTTTGATCTCACTTTGATCTGTCACAATTTGCTTGTATACTTTGTCTCTCCAAGATATATCTTTGAGGCACAACTTGAAATTAGCTGGTTAGACTAAACGGTACTTAAACATCAATGAGTGTCATGACAATTGCAATTCTATGTATGAATTCTTTTTCGTGTTTCGTCTGCGAACTATGTGAACTATAACCTGATTACCTGGAACGGTGTTTCTTTCTACACTTATCCCTTATACTTAACATTGATCTATCAGGGCTGAAATAACGTTCCTTGAGTGTGGCGGAAGCTGCTTCAAAAGTATGGAATAGTCATTCCTTTATCTCTCTCTGAACAGGTGCTTATGTCGCTGTGCAATGGATTCACGTAGGACCTCTTTTGGGACGAGAATTCGATCGAGCTTTAGTCTGCTTTGGGAAACTTCATAACCCATGTTAATGCTAGAAAATTGGCACCACGTATACTTGTCATAGGTAGAAACTGTTTAATAATTCTCTTGTTTGACAGGCTGAGGCGGGTCTCTTATTGTCTAAGATTTGTGACGTTAGGTTTTTTGGGTGTTCTTTGTCTTTAACTCTCACGAAATGCGCGGCGTTGCGCTGGATAAATAGACAGATAATCGATGGGATAATTAGAATAACTCAAGCTCGGTAATGAACACATTGCTGGGCTGCGCGGCCAACGTGACAAACAAAGCCAGAGGTACAGGGTCGTTAGTAACTTGTCCGTAGAGCAAAGTAGACATCAACAGAACTGGAACTCTTCAAATATGTTATATCTTCTCACGTAGTTAGCTCGTTGACAACTCAGGTAATTCAGCATGGGTCACTTCTCTTGGCCTGACGTAATTCAGCTCTGTTGGTTCGATCGAGGTAAATCGCAGAGAACGTACAAGCTCGCTTATATGGGGTCTAGACATGCTAAAATAATACTGTTCAAATGTTATGTTCGGCAAGTTCATCCAACCCTGTGTTTGGCCTTGATGAGTGGAAGGGTAACTACCGTTCACTCGTACTCGTTACGAAGCTGCCGGAACTATGATAACAAAATGTGTAAGACAAAAAGATTGTCAGAATTTGTATCTGTGAGCTATTTAAACTTTTTGTCCTAAGATAAATGTTAATTATGTGTAATTTGCGCACGATCCTGTTATCCAGCTCTTAGCTGCCAGGAGTTATGAATAAACCACTCTACTCTACTCTTCTTTAACTAAAATTACATTCACAGCAGAACATACAACTTATATCCTCGTAGTTAAAAACGAATGTGATATGTCTTAAGTGAGCAAAGATTTAGCTTCGCAAAGTTTAGAAAATTCACAGACGTTCTTATGGTGAGGGGCAACTGGGAAAGGCCCACACCTGAAACGTCTGTAAAATTTCGCGACGTCTTTGAGGAACTATATATTCGTTAGTTTTCAAGAAATCACTTCAAACTTGGCAATCTTACTAATTTAAAGGAGCTCTTTGATTTGATGGATTTTTCCTAACTGGTCCTTGTCAAAAGTTGAAAATATCGTGTAAGGGTTTATTTGGGTAAACCTTAATTCGAATCAAGCCGTTAGCTTAAAAAGCGTTTTTCGTAGTCAAGATCCAAATGTGGTGCCAGTGTACGTCCTCAATGGAGAGCAAAACAATTTCTTGGATATCGCCTACTGGCTGTTTTTTCCGTACAATCGCGGGAAGCGGGCCTGCATTGGGCTTTTTCTATAGGGTCGTTGCTTTGGGAGATATTCAACATTTTGGACACCAGGTTGGAGACTGGGAGAAAGTGATAGTTCGTTTTCGAAAAGTCAACACCAACTACAAATCTACTCCATCCATCTGTCCACTCACAACCAAGAAATAGCAAATAAGTATGTTGGTGAGTTTCTTTGGCAAGGTTGTATGTTCAAGAAGGGGAGTAGAACGCTGGGTATCAGTATGGCCGTACTCATGCAATAGTCTACTGCGCCTAAGGTTCACATGGGTTTTGGCCGAATCCTAGAAAACACTAGTACAAGAAAATTCCAGTTTTTGGGCAGTGGCTGGAGGATGAATGCAGCAGTGGTACAAGTTGGCACACGTAGAATAGATTGAAGCCCGTTCGGTACTATCCTAATGGCGGTTCAAAGGCCATTGGGGAAACAGAAAGAGTGGATGCGACATCATTGAAAAAATCCTAAAGACGCGTATGCTTGCCGACGGTCCAGGAGGTCCTTCCCGCTTCCCTCAGTTTGAATAAAAAGATTGGAGCTGTCAAAGTGGTTGCCATGGTTACTAGTACAAGTAACAGTTTAAAGAATAGATGAAGTGCAAACTAGGATCGTTCCGGAACAATAAAAACTGTACTCAAAAATATTAACGTTTGAGTTTGAAGATTTTTGGGAAATGTTAAGGGCTACAATTCGCTATTTTTTGTCGGAAATTTAGTATGAACAAGCGAGAGCCTCTCATTATTCAGGGGTATTGTCTCCAAGTTTCATTTTCAGTTCGTCACGCTTTCCTGCCCCTGGGGAGGAATGTGTGACGTTGGTCTGTGTCCAGATACTAACCAGGAAGCATTGCGCGCGCTGCATGTTGACCTCCTCGTGAATCGATGATATACAACTTGTCCTCAAGTAGAGCTGCACCGACCTTTTTTGAGAGCTTAAACTTGGAAACTGTATTTGTTTGGTTGCTGAGGCTCGCTGCAGATGCACCATTCACAAGCAGGCTTGAGTTGACTGGTGATAGTCTTTTGAACACTGTCCCTAGATCACTGGACAAAAGCTTGACCCCTCGAGAAGCTGGGTTTCGCTCGCTGGTCGTTCAACTGGAGAGTGCTAAAGCTCTCTTCTACTGGGAGTTCTGCAAAAATTAAAGCGAACCCATCGCTTTTAAATTGAATTGTTTATTGTACATGTCATAGATTGCTGGAAAAAGACAATGCTGGAGCCGTACGATTCCGATTATTTGTGGGTTGTTGTGGTCGGTTTCATTGTCGCTTTCATCTTAGCTTTTGGTATTGGAGCAAATGATGTAGCAAATTCGTTTGGGACCTCTGTTGGAGCCAAAGTATTAAC